TGGTTAAAATAGACTGAGAGGAATGACTGCAGATAAATCCAGCCAATATATATATATATACATATATATATATAGGTAAAATATTTATTGCAACAGAACTAAACTGTACAAAACATAATGATGTCAGTTATTAAATGTCCCTGTGGAAAAGAACTACAATGTTTTCATCAGTTAACAGTATACAGAAGTACGACATGCAAAAAGAACATTTTGTGTAAGCTGTGATTAGATTTTTCAGGATTCTTTGATGAGCTTAATTGAAATATAGTTGTATAAAGCTTAAACATTCTCAACAAAAGTTTTAGTGTTCAACATGATCCACCTGTTTCTGTCTAGAGTAAATGGCCCTTGCTGTTCATTATCAGTGGTTCCTTCATTTGTTGATGTACAACAGACAACAGTAGATGACGTGCCAAATCTTTCTAGGAACATACTAAAGTTGCCTTCACGTGCTATCGGAATTATCATAAATATGAGTTTCCTAATCGTAAATTGGACATGAACGGCCTCTCAAGTTGTATTTATTACTGGGAAACTCTGAAATTATTTAGATACTTGAGTTTCTGCGGGCTATAAACTTTAAACATGGTGGAGGGGATGACGATTGCTGCTGCATGCCAATGCTATTCTTTATTAGTTTTTTTTTTCAACAACATCACCTTGTCTTGTCGTTAAAGTAGTGCCTACTTCTATATAAGAACAATCATTTGAAGCATATTGTGCGTTTTATGAACAGTGAAATAAGCATATATTTGACCGAAATTCTAGAATCGTCTAGAGGTAGAGCAAACTGACTATCTAGCGCAGTGAACGTTGATTATCAACCAATGGAATATTACATTTTATTCTTTCGGACAACAAAGCACTTGAATGCCACAAGCTCTTAATCACGACTTCATTAGTGGGAAATAGGAAATTTCCGATAGCATGTGAAGGCACCATAAAACATGTTAGCAATGTGATAATCGTGATAACAACATGCTAATCATGCTAAACACATGCTAGTCATGCTACAACATGCTAACAACATGTTAATCATGCTGGCAACATGCTAATAATGCAAAAAACATGCTAGCAAAATGCTAATCATGCTAGCAACACATTAATAATGCTAGTAACATGCTAAGTAAAATGTTAACATGCTAATCATGCTAACAACATGTTAACAACATGTTAATTGTGGTAACATGTTAACAATATGTTAATAATGCATAAAAATGCTAGCAACAAGCTAATCATGCTAACAACATGTTAATAATTCTGAAAACATGCTAACAACATGTTAATCATGTTAAAAACATGCTATCAACATGCTAATTGTGCTAAAACATGTTAGCACCATGTTAATCATATTAAAAACATGCTAGTAACATGCTAATCATGCTAATCATACTAGCAACATGTTAAATCATATTAGCAATGTGCTAAATCATGCTAGCAACATGCCATCAACATCTATCTAATTTATCTAAACTTGAAAACTTCAAGCTTTTACAACTGCTTCAAACTTTCAGTCAAGGATTTTTCAAGCCAATTTCAAAGTTTGTTCGCAAACTTTACTCATCTAGTTTGTTCAGTTGTTATTCTAGTTCTGTAAACAGCACTGTAATGGCATACAAGGGTCAACATGGATAAATGCAAACAGTTGCAAAGTGTCAGTAGCATTCTGTCCATTTGTATCTCACACATACGGCATCCTCTTATCCTCTCTCTCGCTTTGTCTTCAAAAAACAATGGGTAGGCCTATGTCTGAGTTATTTATTCAGTCTTCAAATTAGGCCTTTTTTGCATATGTCCTGCTGTATAAAATATGCTGTAGCCTTTGTGTGTGACCAATTATGTGGATTAAAATTAATAAAAAAATTAAATTAAATAATTACTTAAAAACTAATAAAAAATTATTAATAAAACAATTAATTAATAAAATAATAAATAATTGATTCATTTAAATTAATGTAAACAACAAATTAATGATAAATGATAATGATAAATACAGAATTAAACACAATTAAATGCAGAAATCTGAATTAAAACATTGATTTATGACTAATAAATAGGGTAAAAACAATTATATGTAATTATTCAACAAAAAAGAATGCATTTAAATAATTGTGTAGGTCTGAGGCATATTTGCATGAAATCTGAATTTAAACATCAAATGCGCATCTTTCTCCTGAAAATGTGACCAGTACAGACAGTTTGCATCTACTTGCATCCCTCCTATTCCCCTTTATAACTAATTTCATAAAGTTATATTACACATGAAGTCCTATTACATTATTGACATAGGATGTATTTCATAGATAGATAAGTAGTCTGTAATATTTATGATGTATGTCTGTGGTCATGAAGTCATTTGAAAAACTGGTGCTAATCCACCTGAAGGACATCACTGGACCCTTACTGGACCCCCTGCAGTTTGCTTACTGAGCAAACAGGCCTGTGGATGATGCAGTGAACATGGGACTGTATTATATCCTACAGCATCTGGACAAACCAGGGACTGTGTTTGTGGACTTCAGCCGGCCTTCAACACTATCATCCCAAACCTCCTCTAGTCCAAATGAACTCAGCTCTCTGTGCCCACCTCCATCTGTCAGTGTATCACCAGCTTCCTGACAGAGAGGCAGCAGCTAGTAAGGCTGGGAAAATTCTCATCCAGCACCCGCACCATCAGCACTGGTGTCCCCCAGGGATGTGTTCTCTCCTCACTACTCTTCTACCTGTACACCAACGACTGCACTGCAAAGGATCCCTCTGTCAAGCTCCTGAAGTTCGCAGATGACACCACACTTATCGGCCTGCAGTAGAGTCATTCAGGTTCCTGGGCACCACCATCTCTCAGGACCTGAAGTAGGAGTTCCAAATAGACTCCATTGTCAAGAAGGCCCAGCAGAGGCTGTACTTCCCTCACCAGCTGAGGAAGTTCAACCAGCCACAGGAGCTGCTGATACAGTTCTACTCTGCAGTCATTGAATCCGGCCTCTGCACTTCAATAACTGTCTGATTCAGCTCAGCTACCAAAACTGACTTAGAAGACTACAGCGGATAGTCCGGACTGCTGACCGAATCACTGGTACAACCCTTTCCACTCTCCAAGAACTGCACTCATCCAGAGGGAGCAAAAGAGCTGGCAAAATCATTCTGGACCCCTCACACCCAGCCCACTTCCTCTTTGAACTGTTGCCGTCTTGTCAGCGCTACAGTGCACTGTGCACCAGAACAGCCAGGCATAAGAACAATCCATCTCATGAACTGTTAACTTGGCAATAAACATGTAACACACAACACTATTCATACATTTATTTATTTAACACACCATACTTCTTATTCACATTTCCTTGCATTTGTACATAACACACCAAATTCCATCTATTGTCTATTTTGTATATATATATATATATATATATATATATATATATATATATATATACACTGAATATGCATACAAGCCAAGTCAGAAAGTCAACTTTATTTCTAAAACTTTGTATACAATATAGATTGATTCACAGCAGCTTCACAGTTCAGTGTATATATATATATATATATATATATATACATACATTTTTTTTTCTTCAAAAAATTATTGTATATTGCTATTTCATACTACTTATTCTATTTTTATTATCTGTCTTGTCGCTGTCATTCTGTTTGTGCTGTGGAAGTTTCTGTCACCAAAACAAATTCCTCGTATGTGTAAACCTGGCAATAAAACTAATAATATCAGAATTGTTTATCAGTGTAGTAGCCTATATGTAGTGTTCAGGTGAAACAGGTAACTTGCCAGAAATGATAAGGTTTTTGACATGGTGTCTATGTATGCTGTGTAGCTCCGCAGAAAGAGGGGGAGTGCGCTGAAATCGGTAGTCTAATGCACTGGTTCCCAACCCTGGTCCTGGAGGCACCCCAACACTGCACATTTTGAATGTCTCCTTAATCAAACACACCTGATTCAGGTCATCAGCTCATTAGTAGAGACTCC